TTGCTTATGTGGTGCTGAGGAATCGAACCCAGGGCCTCGAGCATGCAAGGCAAGCGCTCTACCACTGAGCCACCTTCCCAGCCCGGAGATAAAAGTTTTTATTAGATAAAAGTTTTATGGAAAAGTAAGGTGTTATATGAATGTGCTATTATTTTGAATGAAGAAAACAGAAAAGGAAATGTGAAACAGTATATGAACTAGGGTGAAGACAAAAACTTGCTAATCTAGAGTTGATAAAAACAGAGGAACTAGAAACTTTTTTTTTTTTTTTGGGTAGGTCATGGGGCTTGAACTCTTGGCCTGGGTGTTGTCCTTCAGCTCTTTAGCTTAAGGCAAGTGCTCTAGCATTTGAGTTACAGTGTGCCACTTTGCCACTTCCGGTTTTCTGGTGGCTTATTGGAGATAAGAGTCTCATGGATTTTCCTTTCTGGGCTGGCTTTGAACTGTGATCCTCAGATCTCAGCTTCTTGAGTAGCTAGGATTACAGGAGTGAACCACGGGCGCCCCGCTGGACTAGAAACTCTTATACACTATAAATCCACTTTAGCAAACACCATGTGATAGCAAACGAAGTTTCTCATATTCTACAATTTTACAACTCAAATAGCAAATGAAACAACATTCTACATTCTAAGGAGAATCATACATGCATACAAGATATGTATAAAATGATTCACTGATGTGTTTTAGAGGAAAAGAGATTTGAAAATAATGTGACATTCATACACAATAATATAAAATAATTCATACTACACTCTAAAATAATTAAAATAAGTGAACTAAAGATAGATATATCATCTTAAGTCCCAAAAAGAATGTCAGAATGTTTAGCAAAACAAAATGATCTTTACCATGGTCATGTAACTTTTTAAAACCACAAGCAGGTTTACTAAGGCCCATAAATAGTAAGGACACTTTATGTTAGTAAGTACACCTGGAGAGTAAAGGGAAAAGTATTTGGAGCTTGCACTCAGGGCCTGAGCTTCTTTTTGCTCAAGGCTAGCTAGCACTCTACCATTTGAGCCAGAGTGCCACTTCTGGCTTTTTTGTTTTGTTTTTTGGTCGGTCGTGGGGCGTGAACTCTGGGCCTGAGCACTGTCCCTCAGTTCTTCAGCTCAAGGCTAGCCCTCTACCACTTAGCTACAGCACCACTTTGGGTTTTCTAGTGGCTTATTGGAGATAAGTTTCCTGCCAGGACTAGCTTTGAACCATGATCCTCAGATCTAAGCCTCCTGGGTAGCTAGGATTACAGGCGTGGGCCACCAGCATCCAGCCACTTCTGGCTTTTTTCTCAATAGTTTATTGGAGATAAGTATTTCATGGGCAAGGCTGGCTTCAAACTGCGACCCTCAGATCTCAGCCTCCTGAATAGCTAGGATTACAGGTAGTCACCAGCGCCTAGCACACTCGATATTTTCATTAAAAATGTCCTACAACGCTATGGGTGGTGGGTTCATGCCTATAATACCAGCCCTCAGAAGGTAGAGGCAAGAAGACTGCATTTTTCGATCAGTTGTAGGGCTTGAAACTGAGGACCTGGGCATTGTCTCTAAGGTTTTGTGTTCAAGGCGAGTGCTCTACCATTTTGAGCCACAGCTTTTAGGCCATGACTTTTAGGAGGTTAATTAGAGACAAAAGTTTCACACTTTTCTGTCCAGATGTCTTCAAACCTCAATCCTCAGATCTCAGCTTCCTGAGTAGCGAGGATGGTATGAGACACCAACACCTAAAGACTGCAATTT